CCTGCTGGCATCTTAAGAGCTGTGGGCCATTAAATCTGAGCGTCAAGGAAGAAGATTTGGCACAAGGTTATTTATTTTTTTTTTTTTGCGGTACGCGGGCCTCTCACCATTGCGTCCTCTCCCGTTGCGGAGCACAGGCTCCAGACGCGCAGGCTCAGTGCCATGGCTCACGGCCCCAGCCTCTCCGCGGCATGTGGGATCCTCCCGGACCGGGGCACGAACCCACGTACCCTGCATCGGCAGGCGGACTCTCAACCACTGTGCCACCAGGGAAGCCCACACAAGGTTATTTTTAAATATGAGGGACAGAGTTATTGGATAGAAACAGTTTGCACAAGATTCACTGTATGATCCAAATTCATTCATTCTTCCCTCCCTCCCTCCCTCCCTTTCTTTCTTCTTAATGTAAACAGCCTCATATTGGAGGTTGGGGATGACAGAAGGGCAGCAGGAACTGGCCCCTGCCTTTCCCCAGCATCACCTCCCATCTGTCCTCCACCGCAGAGATCTGCCTTCCTTTTGTTCCTCGAAGCCACAGAGCCCTGCCTGGCCTTCAGGTCTTTGCACTGGTCGTCTCCACTGCCTCCAGAGCCGTGTTCACTCCCAGACCTCACGAGGCTGCTTTCCTCCTACTTCTCAGTTCTCAGTCCAGACGTCACCTCCTGAGCAAGGTCCCACCTGGCCCCCCTCTAAAGAGGAGTCTACATGGTTCTCCTCTTACCATAGTGCCCTGCTCTTTTGTTTTTATAACACTCTCTGGAACAAGCTTGTTAATTTATTATTTGCTTGCTTGGTGGCTGTCTACCATCTTGTTTTCCAATTTTTCTCCCATCCCTAGAACAAGGTCCAGCAGACAGGTGTTTCATGAGTACTTGTCAGATGGCTGGTCTGTCTGTCATAAGGTATGGCCTGCTTTCTAGGGCTCCATGGTCCTGTTCCATCCAAGTTCCCGGCCTGTCTCCACATGCGGGACACTATCCATCCCTCACCTAGGTCTCTGCCACCCATGAAGCCCAAACACAAGGCCTCTGACTCTGAAATCCTTTTCAGCACCAGGCAATATGTGAATATCCTATGCAAGACTCAAAGCATGTACAATAAAGAATGTGAAGACTTGTTAAATATGATCCTTGAATTTGCAGTTTTACATAGGTGCTGAGAGGAATCTACAAATAAGTCTGTAAAATGCCGTGAGAAAAGCACAGCAGCGTTAGGGGTTCGGAGCACTCGTTTGCCCTTACTGTTGACTCTGTTCTCTAAGGCGTATTTCCAGCAGTGCACCTGTGGAAAGCGACAATGTTTATAAAGCATGCTGGCCTGTGTGGGACCACTCGAGGCAGCCTCAGTCCTGGAGAGACTCGCAGCCCTTCATGGCCATGGTGGCTGCACACCCAGCACTCAGGGACCACCTACCGCCCCGTGGGGACTCTGGCTTCAGATAACTTAGATGTGTATTTTCTTGTGAACATGTGGAAGTATTTTTAAAACCTTGGTGCTTTCTTTTACTTCAGTATCTGATTTTCTTCCCTACGTAGTACAGAAGAGGACATGGAGTGGGAATTGCTACACCAGTATCTTTTTCAGTGTGAAGAGTAGACTTAAAAAAGGACTTTCTCAGCAACTTTCCTCTTTCTTTTCCTTTGTAAAGGATGCTCCGGCCTTCCGTTGCACCAACAGCGAGGTCACAGTTCAGCCGAGTCCCTACCTGAGCTACCGGCTGCCCAAGGACTTTGTGGACCTCTCCACCGGGGAGGACGCTCACAAACTCATCGATTTTCTTAAACTGGTAAGGTTTGTGTGTACTTAGTAGGCTGGCCAGCTCTGCTTTCAAGTTGACTCTTTAATATTTCATTTTAGTTATATACCACGTAGACTTTTATTTGATGATTGGGAATTAATGGGCAAGAATTACTAATTGAGGTCATTTTATAATGACATATGTCAAGTAAGCTGAAAGATTAATTTATTGATTAAAATGACAGAAAATGTTTTTTATGTGTATGGTTTGAGTAATTTTCATAATACTTGTAATCTTGAAGAAAGTATGTATAGTTGACCCTTAAACAACCAGGAGAAAATCCACATATAATTTATAATGAACCCTTCGTATCCACGGTTCTGCATCCACGGATTCAACTGGCAGTGGGTCCTCAGTACCGTAGTATTTGCTACTGAAGAAAATCCACATGTAAGTGGCCTGTGAAGTTCAAACCCATGTTGTTCAAAGGTGAACTGTATACTGTTATAGGGCTGAGAGCAGATCAGATCTCTCCTATGGGTACTCCAGGGGGAAGGTGAGTATTTGTATTTGTGTGTGTTTCTGGGTGGGAATATTTGTACATAAAGAAGAAAGAGAAGAAAATGTTCAAATATCTTGAGGATAATGTGCCCAGGAGCCAAAGTGATAAACTACTTTAATGAACTACATAAGGCATGTTTTTTTTTCCATGATAATTTTCAACCACATCTTTTGCTAAGGGCCTCTAGAAAATTATACTTGCTGACAGAAAAAGCGATCTTGGCTGAACAAATATCGCAATTAGAATGTGCTGTTTTAATGCATCTTGGTTTCCTTTGACAGAAAAGGAATCAGCAAGAGGATGACTGATTAGCATGCTAGAGTTCAAGGCCAAGTCACACAGGAAACCACTGCTGCTTCTGGAGGCCGTACATAGTCCACAACCTCCTATTAACCCAGTCAGCGGGGGAGGGGGAGGGGGCAGCGTGGAAGTCAGTGGCTTTTTATATTCATGTATAAAACTGGGGGAAATGGAGGGACTTTGCTACTTGTAAAAATAACACAATAAATAGATCTTAAACATAGGAAACCATCCTGTTCTGTCTATGAAATACCTTGTTCTTTAGGCTCAGTCTATTTATATTTATCTCTGTTCCTTGTGCTATTTTTTTAATACCTGGCAGGTAGCTGGGCAAGTTTATATTTGTTATACAGAAATGGGTTCTTTCTTTATCATTACTTTTCCCATTGAAAAAATAGAACCTTATATTACTATAGAAAATATTTTTCCTACTTTGAGGATTTTCATGTAATTTTTCTATCAGTTGAGCTTCGGTTTGGGTATAGTTAAAATAATACAGACTTCTCAAACTGTCAACCATGAATTTCAGTATAGTACCTTAATGTGCATCCCTAAAACTATCACAGATGTAATTCAGCCTTTCAAACGATTATTGGAATTTGGGGGGAGGTAGATTCACTTTTTTAGGCCACCGTTTTAGTAATTCTTCAGTGTCGTGACTGATGATGATATATCATTGATACCTGATTTACTCAGCACTCACTAAATGCTAAGACACTCTGCTAAGTGCTCTTTATGTGGTATTTTACATCACGGAGCAATTTAAGAAAACAGACGTTACAGTTTCCTAGGGTATCTATCTAATGTGGTATCAAAGAATATTTTACTAGTTGGAGGTATGTTTCTCAACATCAGAGAGCATGTGCTCCCATAGAAAGATAACAGAGAGAAGTGGGGCAAAATCTCCCCTTTCTGTGTAGTTAAGGCAGATTACGTGTAGTGATGAAAGATATCATTTCTTGTTAGGTTATTTCAAATTCTAGCTTGCTGTGTGGTTTCTCCGTTACAGTCACTTGATATTGGTGTTTAAAATTCAAAATACAAAGATCAAGTGTATCAAATGCCATTTCTGAGGCCAACTGTTTGAGGTATAAGTGCTTCAAAAATATTTTTGTTTTTTAAACTGCTCATGGCCTTCTGTTAACTCATAATGGAGGGATTTATCATTGTGAGTTGATTTCATCTTAGTTCCGAAGCTGGCTTCGCCAAGATGACACTTGACCAGTCAAAAAAAGGAAACGTATTTGATACCAATTGAAAAAGTTCCGACTATGTATAATAAAAAGACTCAAGCAAAATTTAGCAAACAGTTTATAAAAAGGACAGTTCTTGGTGTAAAACTCATTAACTTTTTACTTTAATTTTCCTGAGGGTATGATTGAGTTGAACTCGCACTTCCCTTTTAATAATGTGATTTTGGTACATTGTTTCCGAAGTATATTTAATTCTAGTTGATTATCCTGGTGTTAATATTAAATATAGGATAACATGCAGGAAATATTCTCCTAATTCAGATGTCATTTATGCCTGCCTAAAGATTAGTTTTCGAATTATCCTTTTATTTTGTTGGCTTTATCTGTTCTTTCTTTGAGGTACCTCAGGTTTGCGCTTGAATTTAAAGAGTGGATACACGTGTGATTCCTTAGTCTGGTTCTGAATTCCTGCCTTCGGAAGAGAAGACATTACAGATCTTGATTCTGACAGGTTGGGATAAACATGTTTACTTTGTCCTGCAGGCAGTGGCATGTAGCACAGGCCTCACAAACAGCAGACTTTGCCAAAAGTTCTGTTTAAAGAAGTGTCATTTTGACTTGCATTTTCTGAGTTCATAGATCTTTCCTATCTACTCAGCTTTTTTTTTTGGAAATCGAGGATCATGTCTGTTAAAAAGCAAACAAAGCTTGTGTGACTGAGTTCTTCAGCTTAAATGTGTTTTCTTACCTATAAATTGGGAGAATAATAGTCGTAAACTCATGCCTCTGTTAAATGAGATGTAAAGCTTTTCATGTAGTGCATCGTACACAAGCCCCTAAGAAATGGCAGCTATTATTACCATTCTGCTTTGCAGACCTCTGTAGTTTAAAGGCACATTCTTTCTTAACAGAACCAAAAAAATTTTGAGTGGAAAGGGACTTCAGAGATCATTCAGCCCAGTTTCTTTTCCTTTTTCCCTCCTTCCCTCTTTTTCCATTCCTTTTTTTTTTTTACAGAAAACTGCTCACAGAAGTTAAGACTTGTCCAAAATTGTGGCAGAATCAGAACCACAAAAGAACCTCTAGTCTAATGCTGCTCTCTAAGGATTTTTAGCCTAATATTTTTTGTAGATAAGTTTCAACCAGAACAAATTATTATTTTAATAATAAAACTTTCAAAAAGAATTGTTTTTTAAATAAAATTAAGTACAGATTCATTTCACACATCTCTGTGCAGAGGAATTAAATAAAAAGATACTAAATATAGAGAAATTAAATGAAGAAATAACTGAAAGATTTAATTCAATTTCATGTTTGTATTAACTAGGCTCATCTTGAGAAGAGACTTAGCCATCTTTAAACATTTTAAAGACAGAATTCCTATTTAAACGTTTTATTCATGTGTTGTCTTGGCTCATAGAAAACAGTTTCAGTAAGTGTTCTAAGAAAATAAATAGTGATAAACTCACCCTCCATATGCACTGCAGGTCTATTATGTATACACATTAAGAAGAGGCTTGAGGAATGGTAATATAAGACCTAGTAACAAAAAAGTGGTTGAAGCAGCAGCTAAATGCCCCATGTCATGAGCTTAGGCAGTGAGTCTGGCATTAATTACCTGAAGAGAGAATGCATTCAAATGTGTCTTTTTTTTTTTTAACCAGGGAAACCAAAATAAAGTGACACTTCTAAATACATATAGACAGAAAAATTAACAGAGGTGGAACATTAAGGTAAAGATGCTGAGGCAGCGACTCGTTCATCCAGCAGACATTTTTCGGGTCGAGGACAGTGTTAGATGCTGTGTGTACATCTTAAGCGTCCTGCCTTCAGAGACCTAACAGGATACAGGACACCATGATAGACTCGTACGTAAAGAAGGAGGGTTTGATGAGTTGCAGCAACGTGAAGACCTCTGTGGGTGCAGAAAGAGCGGTCAGGGCCTCATCCAGGTGAGATGTTAGGATTTCATTCTCAGGTGAGGTGGGAGGCCATTGGGAGGTTTACGCAGAGGAGAGACGTAATCTCATTTAGGGCTTTGAGGTGTTACTCTGGTTTCTGGGTGGGAAGCGGAGCGATCAGTTAGGAGACAGTGACTCGTGGTGGTCAGGGTGGCCCCCGCTGCGGGGGAAGGAGGTGTGAAGACCTGAAGTGCAAAGATTGGGGATACAGCCATGGGGAAGCTCTGATGGGATGTAGGGCATGAAGGAGAAGGAGGGTGTGAGCTGCCCGGTGGAGGGGAGGCAGTTTTCTAAGCATGAGAAGGAATAAAAGGGAACCAGGTTAGGGAGGGAAATCAAGACCTCTGTCTTGGACATGAAGAATTTGAGATTGCAGTGACTTACCAAGTAAACATGTCGAGAGACAGTTGGATTTAACAATTAGAACTTGGGGAATTCCCTGGTGGTCCAGTGGTTTGGACCCGGCACTTCCACTGCTGTGGGCCCAGGTTCAATCCCTGGTCGGGGAACTAAGGTCCCATGAGCCACACAGTGTGGCCAAAACAACCCCCAAAAAACAATTAGAACTTCTGTGGAACAGTGTGAGCAGATCAAAAGGACTGGCAAATTGGGAAAGAAAGCCAGGGGGTGGCATTATGTCCAGCTACGTGGGACACTGCTAAGAAGTTAGATAAGGCGGGCTTCCCTGGTGGCGCAGTGGTTAAGAACCCACCTGCCAATGCAACGGACACAGGTTCGAGCCCTGATCCTGGAAGATCCCACATGCCACAGAGCAACTAAGGCCGTGCACCACAACTACTGAGCCCGCACTCGAGCCCACGAGCCACAACTACTGAAGCCAGTGCACCTAGAGCCCGTGCTCTGCAGCAAGAGAAGCCACTGCAATGAGAAGCCCGTGCACCGCAACAAAGAGTAGACCCTGCTCGCTGCAACTAGAGAAAGCCCACATGCAGCAACGAAGACCCAACACAACCAAAAAAAAAAAATTAGATAAGGCAACAAAAAAAGTTCTTACATATTACGGGTTGAAATCTTTTAATTTGTTGGAAGACCTAATGTGGGTGTTTAATGTGAATTTAGACCAGTTATTCTTACTGATTTTTATGTATAAAGTACAAATCTCTCTTCGCACCACAGAAGTTAATATTTAGCAGTATAATTATTTTGAGATTCTTTAATTGATCATTTAATTTTGTTAAAGTCTCAGTATGAACTAAGATGACTTAAATTGGGTTTTTTGCATCACTGATATTTTTGACTGTTGGCCACTCACATTTAATGGGTAGAGTTCTTAGGTGGATTATCTCACCATGTACTTACAGACTTTTAATCAAGGAAAGACTTAAACTGAATTTCCCTCACTAGTTGCAAGTGGTTCTCCCCACCTTGAAAAATGTCTGTAAAATGTCAGCACTAACTTCGGAACAAGGCAAGCAGCTGGGGAGTCAACTGCCCATTCATAGTGTGTGACAAGCAGTCATTGGGGAACTGAGTGTAAATAACATAATAATCTTCCAAATAAGCATGAGGAGAAATGGATTTCTTTGAGAATCTGGTGAAAGATGTAGGCTCACCTGAGGAAAACCTTTACACACAGTTTCAAGGGGTCTTAGACCTCAGATTAAGACCACCGCACTAAAGCTGTGTGGGATCAGATTAGAAGCCAGAGCTTCTGCACTTGTAAGAATGGAACCATTTCATAGTGTGTAGTGTGCCTCAGAGAAGTAACGCACACAGCTTACCTTTTAACTCAAGTAGTTTCCAACAGTGTTGTTTCTATAATTAATTAATTTATAGTACATTCCCCTCAGATTGTCAGCTCTCATAAACAAAGTAGACTGTGTTAGAATTCCACCAGAAAAGAACTAGTATGAGTCATATACATACATATATGTGTATATATAAAGTTGCCCTACGACATATATATGTATATATGTACACTTGTTATACACACCTGTGTGTGTGTGTAATAAGGGATTTATTACATGGGACTGACTTATGCAGTTGAGGTGAGCTGGCTACACAAGTCTGAAGCCTTCGGGCAAAGCTGGGACTCCAGGCACAGGATGAAGCTCTTTGTCCACAGGTGGAATTCAGTGTCTTT